ATGTTGTTCATTCGCATACGATCTAGATATTATGTTCTTTCATACAGGATAAAATCAACGTGAAAAAAATCAGAAACGTACTAATTTCAATATCTGTGATTATCTGTATTCCCATTTCCATTGCATATTTACTGTCAGCAAATTTACTTGCGATCTATATTGCGATTAACGCTTTGAACTCGATGATCCTGATCCTGTTTATTGTCAATATGACCCCAAGATCGGTACACTGTTCGTGACATTTCTATCAGAATAACAGCGATATAACATAACAAATGATTAAATAATATTATTATTCATAACATTAACATTACCATAATCCTACCATTATACATTTATTCAAGAACCCTAACCGAGACCTTGAGATGGAGCAAGACAGGAAATCGGCGAAGCCTTAGTAGCAAATCCTACAACTCAAACTGCTTACTAGCATTAGTTGTACTACCAAAGCAGAGAACTCTGAACTGTTGCGTCACATTAATTTAAAATATTACGCGTTCATCCTCTCAACGAAGTTTTCACAATACGACCGATTTGTATTTCTGATGATAGCAGATTATCTTCACAGCTAGAAGCTTTAATTCGGAAAGGAATTTATTTATAATCCTTTCCCTTTTCATTTCTTTTCATGAATGGCAAGGTAACAATTTTCACACCACGATTGTAAAAAAAAAAAACACTCGGGGTATGAAATTATCGCGCACGCAACGCAATTGGCAATAGTACGTTTTATCGATTGCTCTTGCAGTAAATTCACCGTTCCTTCTTCAATGTCACGAGCATTTCCTCGCGGAATTTATACCACGACGAGTGTTATCGACGCCGGGGACGCTTCGCTGCGGCGAATTTGAAATTTAATCGGCCTCCGAAACGTGTGCGCTCGCATTGCCCGATTTTCATGAATCATTCATCGTTCGACAGAGAAGGAACGAACGAAGGAAAAGAAAAGGAAGGGAATATAGTTAAAGGAGAAAGTCTCTCCACCCCTCCCTCCACCACCCCTTTCCTTTTCCCACGGAAAGAAAAGAAAAAAAAAAAAACGAGGAAATTGCATTCTAAATAGAGGAACCGGATGCGTGTTTCTCGCGTCGCTTTCTAAAGAAGCCCGGCGATCTTGCACGACGTCGCGGTCGAGTTCACGTTAAATCTATTTACCGTCTCAAACGAACCCCACGGAACGACGTACAAGTATAAGATCGTCGTCGGTGAAAGTGAGAAACGACGGCAGATTAGCCCGCCTTGTTAAAAATTAAATTCAATTCCAAAAAGAATGACGCAACGCTTTACTTATACCAAATGAAATTTTTATGGAACAAAATCAAAACCGTGGTTGATTACTCTAAGACGAAAGATTCTCTTATTTAACGTTAGA